CCCAGTAAAATTGACACAAAATGATCCAACACACTCTCCAAATCCTGCTGACATCAGAGGGTAAAGTCAGAAAGGCTGGGTCAGGAACGAGGTAACAGAGAGTGGGTGCTCATGGGCACCCAGCACCCTCTCAGAGCTGTCTGACAACTGACTGCCCGGAAACGTCACATGTGACCAAAAGCACGACTCTTGCATAGAATGTAGACAGACAGATGGCTTTGGAACCAATGGCTGAGAAGCACATACACTGCCCTGGCCAGTCACCTGCTTGTAACCAGGAATAGAGCAGCCTGACCAGGGGAAAGGTGAACAGTGCTGACCATTCAACCAGACCAGGAGGCCAGGTGACCCCTCCTCTGAGCTCCAGCAACACCGACGATGTATCTGCAAGGTGACTTCGCTGGCAGAGAGGTCACTATTTTTACATGATAGTAGATCATCCCCCAGCTAAGAGATATGTTCCCAGCTGTTTGGGATGATGAAAAAGTTTTGGAAATGGATAGTGGGGATGGCTGCACAGCACTGTGAATATACCAACGCCATTTAATTGTACACTTAAAAATGGTTAAATGGGGGAATGGAATTTGGTGCAGCCACTATGGAAAACAGTATGGAGATTCCTTAAAAAAACTAAAATTAAACTTACCCGATGATCCAGCAATCCCACTCCTGGGCATATGTCTGGAAAACTCCTATTTGAAAAGATACATGCACCCCAATGTTCATAGCAGCACTGTTCATAACAGCCAAGACACAGAAGCAACTTTTAAATGTCCATCAACAGATGACTGGATAAAGAAGATGTGGTACACACACACACACACACACACACACACACACACACACACAGGAACACTACTCACCCATAAAAAAGAATGAAATACTGCCATTTGCAGCAACATGGATGGACCTAGAGGTTATCATGCTTAGTGAAGCAAGTTAGACAGAGAAAGACAAATATCACATAATATCACTTAAATGTGGAATCTAAAAAAAATGACACAAATGAACTTATTTACAAAACAGAACAGACTCACAGATATAGAAAACAAACTTACTGTTATCAAAGGGGAAAGAATGGGGGGAGGGATAAATTGGGAGTTTGGGATTAGCAGATATACATTATTATACATAAAATAGATAAACAACAAGGTCCTACTGTACAGCCCAGGGAACTACACTCGATACCTTCCAATAGCCTATTATGAAAAAGAATACACATATGCAAAGCCGAGTCACTCTGCTGTACACCAGAAACTAACACAACATTGTAAATCAACCATACTTCAATGAAAAAAACGGTTATTTTATGCTCTGTATATTTTCCCACAATTTAAAAAGACATGCTCCTTAGAGACAGGCCCGTGCTTTCCCCTTATGCCCACAACATACAGTACAAAGTTCATTCCACAGCATTCCGCACAGGACAGCTTGCCAAGTTACCGAGGACCCAGGCCCCGGCCCTCCAGGCAGCAGTCGCCTTCACAGGGCAGTGTGGACGGCCTCACGGGCTTGCTCCTCGGGCCTTGAGCCCTGCAGGCGGGTATCCTCTGTGCTGGTTCATTTCCCAGCATTTGGTGCGCGGTAAGACACCAAGATAGACATTTTGGATCTGAGGGTTTTTACAGTGAGCAGTCCTGCAGGGCAGCTCTACAAACGCCAAGTGGGAGGCTGGGCCCACCCGTCTGAGCCAGGCCTCTTGCACGAGATTTCTCCTTCTGGAAGGAGGGTTGGAGGAGAGATCTGAGGACGGACGAGGCAGTGCCACGTCACCGAGCGGGACGCCATCTCCACGAGGTCTGACTCTCTCTCTGCAGTGACCACACCTCCACTGACTGCTTCCTTCTCCTGGAAACTCTGCATCCCCTACATCTTGCACTCCCAGGAGGGAAAGACATTAACTCCTTAATTTTCAGGACAACACAGTTCAGTTCATCTCTTCCTTCTCCTCCCATCCTCCCACACACCTCCCTGTAGTCTGTTTGTGGGTTAAACCACATAAGACTTTTCACCAATTTCATGTGAGTCTAAGATTATTCTTCAAATGAATTCAAGGCTAGTAAGCCTGCAAAAGCATTGAACAACACTGGGGCTATTCTGAACGCCACCACTGTCAGCAGCGATGTTTCTGTCTAGCTGTCGACTCTCCTTCTTCGAGCAGATGCCCTGTGGGGGATGGTGCGCTCCGCACATCTGAGGCGCAGACCTCCTGGCTAGTTCTCTCACTAACCTTTTCTAGGACCACTGAGAAATCACTAATCAATTTGGAATGTTTTTCTCATGTATCCCTTGATCTAGAATCTTTCAAGTGGAGCTAACCTCCACCCCGGCCCTAACTCAGAAGGATGCAGTCCAATCAGTAAACCCCAGAGTCCTGACAGCACCACACTACAAGTTGAAGCAAGGCCTTGGTCTCTCCAAGAAACACACCTGTAAATCCACTGTCGCTTCCAGGTCCCAGCCGAGTCCACGACAGGGGAACGGGAGGAAGGTTATTGGGTCAGCTTTGCAGACCCTAACTGGCAGGCCCTGGGTCAGTTCTGTTACTGCGTAATGAACAACTGCAAAGGCTCAGTGGCACAAGATCACTTGTATTAGCTCGTGGGTTTCAGGACTCAGTGGTGGAGCCGGACACCACGATCAGGGCAGAGAAGCCAGAGCAGAGCTACACACACGCCCTTTCCAACCTCTTCATGCACTGTGTCTGCCTGCATCCCATCCGTCTGCCTGCAACCCATCCATCTGCCTGCATCCCATCAGCACAGCCTCCAACCTGCGACCAGTGAGAGGACAGCAGGGGGCAAAGGGCAAATGGCGTAGCAGGCTGGCCACGGTCTCTTTGAGGCTCAGCCACTGGGATTCTCCAATGAAGAGTCATTTCAAAGAAGAATTTATTGAACAAACGAAAATGAAGAAAATGAAGGAGAATCAGAGAACACTGCAGTGGAAAGGACCTTGCTGGTTAAGATACCCCATCCCTTCACTCTACAGAGAAAGGCACTAAGGTCCAGGACAATTTGGGGAGCCGGCTTAGTTCAGGAAGTAGCAGAGCTGAGCCTGTGGCTGGCCTTCAGGATGGGGGAGGGGGTCCCAGGACAGAAGCAGCACTGAGTCACCTAGCCTGGGACACGGGGTGAATACCACTGCCCCCCCGTTCCTAATGGCTGGGTGAGAAGAGAGGAGATGAAGGTGGGGGGTACTCTAGGGGGTGGAAGACACCCTCTGCCCCCACCTCTCCCGCCATGGCTGGATCTGCCCGGGCCACTGCTGTGCAAAAGCTATCACATCAGCATTAGGATCCGGAGAACTGAGACAAAGGACAGGACGCGAAACAGACAACCGTCCCCAGGCCACGCGGGTCCTTCTCAGCCAGCGGTCCCTCCCTGCTTTGCTGTACCACAGGCACCTTCATCTGGACCAATGAATGAAGAGGGGAGGCCAAGAAAGTCTTCGCTCCACATGCCACGGGACAGCCTGCAACCGAGGGAGTGGTGAGCACACGGGGCTGCCAGGCCATCCTGGCCGTGGTGAAGGCCAGGCTGCTCGTGACCGGGAGCTGCCAGCTTCAATTCTGGCTTCCAAACTCAAACCCTCACACTGCAGCAAAGCCTCCTAGAACCACAGAGCTTTAAAAATAAAAGGGCACTTCAAGGAACCAATGCGAACCTTCTATTTTATAGATGGAGACTTTACAGATTTCATGGAACCTGGTATGAGAACATGTCCCGAGAGAGGGGCCGCCTTGCTGGGTAGTGGACGTGACTTCCAGCTACTCATCAGCTTTACAGAACAAGGAAATGGTGCCAGATGCCCACAGAACCCACGTGCGAACATCCATCCAAAAGCCCTCCGGGCGGACCTCCAGCAGGCGGAACCACGCCTTCACACCCCGGTGCCTGGCACGATGCTTCAGGGAACAGCACTCAAGAAGCATTTATTCTAAGAATGACTGATGGTATATGTAAAGTGAAATGGACTCCCTTGTCCTCATGGGAGTGTCACTGCAAAGGACACCAGAGAGATGGCAAGGGCCACCGGAGGATGGAGGGTCCAGGCAGCACATCCAGTGTGTTTCCCACTCTGGGGGGGTGGGTCTGCCTGGCAAGCACCTGAAGCCTGTGCACAAGCAGACCCAGGCCCGGGCCCAGCTTGGTTCCCCGGCCCCAGCCCAACCTGAAGCTCCCAGGCCCATGGGGCAGGGTGGGCTGGGGCTTCGAGGCACATGCAGTTCCTTGCTGTGTCTCTGAGCAGACGCGAGCAGGTGCTCAGCTGAATCTTCCTGTGAATCCTTCTCTGGCTCGGGGGAGAGGGAGAAGGCGTGCAAACACCCTGTGCCTTGGGCCTGGAGCTGCAGTTGGGAGCGGCAGCGAGGTGAGGTCCACGGTGTGGCCTGACTGATGGGGAAGCAGCACAGAAGGAGGAACCGGTCCTGGCCAGGGTCCCTGGTCCGTTTCACCAGCCCTACCTCTTCCTTCCGTGCGCTCTGTACCCTGCCGGCTCTGGCAGCTCAGCGTCTGGCCCTGTTCCTGTAGCAGAGCTCGGCCGCCTCTCCTAAAACGTGCGCCCACACCTGCCAGGAGCAGAGCAGGGAGCAGGTGGTGACGCTGGCTCCAAGGGCCGAGCTCCTGGTGCTGTTGATGGCCCGGGAAGAAGGCGTGCTCAGGACCGGAAGGCAGGGCAGAGACCTGGGAGGTTGTGGGGGTGCCTTCTAAGATGCCACACGGTGTGTGCCCACCGTTCTGGTGAAGCCTCTGGCTCACCCTGCGAGGGCCAGAGCCCTGAGCAGTATTTACCGCGGTTATTTAAGTAGAGGGGCTGGAGTGACAGGAAGACCATGCAGAGGACAGTGCCAGCTCCCCCGGTGCGCCAGTGGGGAGGGGGACAGCAGCCCCAGCCTCTGTTGCAGCATCTGGGGGTGGGGCGCAGTGAAAAGGGTAAGTGAGCAAGGTCCTCGGTTACCAAACTGTCCCCTTGGCCTCCAGGGCCAGCCCTGGGCTCACCTGGATGATGAAGCCGGTGGACGAGCACTGCCTGACCCAGAGGCTGAATTTCCGCTTCTTTCTCTTCCGCAGTTCCCTCTCTGTGCACGTGGCGATGAACACAGGGTCCTCGTCAATCAGGGGTTCATGTAGCACCTGCCGGGAAAGAAAGAGCAGAGCATCTCACGGAAGGCAGCGTGAGCCTAGGGGGTCATAAGATCTGGGCTCAAATCTAGTCTCTGCCTTTGACCAGCTGTGTGACTTTGGCTAAGTTACTTCACCTCTCTGATCCTCAGTCTCCTCATTTGTAAAAGGGGAATATGGATATCGATTACTAGAGTTTTGAAGAGGATTAAGTAAGAAACTGTATGCAAAGCCCTTAGCAGGTATTTAGTAAGTGGAAATCATCATCATCATAATTTGTATTATTAATTATTGTTACTAGCAACCTAAGGTTCTCAGTCTAAACTCTCACTTGGGAGAGGGACCTCCAGCAGGGGTCCTGACTTCCAGCTGGACACGCCCGGTGGGGGCACCTACCTCCTTTCAAGGAAGATCTTTCCACTGGGAGATGCTCTAACTGCTCACTGACTCAACACTGACCTACATTTAACCTAAAGCTACTGGCTTGACTTCTGCACCTGTGAGAAACAAAGACAGGCACAAATGATGTCTTTAGGTTTTCCAGACAGTTCTTATGCTGGCCCACGACCTTCTTTTTCCCAGGTTGAACATTCTCTTTTTAAAAACCGTTCCTGAAATGACCCAGTTCCTTCATTGCCACGATGCAGCCTCTGGCTTCCTTCCAAGTGGCCATGTCCTTTCGGATGCGGGATTCCCTCGGTAATTTTTAAACTTATTTCGTCTATTTCCACTTCTTTCTCTCTCTCTCTTTTTTTTCTTAATGGAGGGACTAGGGATTGAACCCAGGACCTTCTGTATGCTAAGGACACGCTGTACCACTGAGCTATCCCCTCCCCCACTATTTCCACTTGGTGATGACATGGTGATAGGACTTCTTCAATGACAAGATGACAAAATCAAAGCAATGGCACAACAAAACCAGGTCCCAGGAGTGGCCCAAGTTTTGTTTCTTCAAGCTAGAGCTTTCTGGGAGAGACACTTGGGTAAGTTTTAGGAACCCATGACACATCCCTTCCAATCCAATTTAAAGCTTACTTAGGAGTTGGTACATATGTTTTCGTGGAAATGAAGAACGCAGGAAATCCTATGATTCCAAGAACCCTCCACCACGCTCTAGCTCAGGGGCCAGCAAACTACAGGCCAGCCCACCGCCCCTGAATAAAGCTGTCCCTGAACTCGCTGCGCCCTGTGCCTCCCCTGATGTATCGTCAGTGGCTGCTTTTGGACTACAAGGTCCCGACACAGACCACACCGCTCCCAGAGTCTAAAATACCCAGCCATTGACAGAGAAAGTCTGCCAGCCTCCTCTCCACCAGGGCTTTTCAACTTTAATGAACAAATTAGTCACCTGGGAATCTTACAGAAATGTGGATCCTGATTCAGTGAGCCTGGGGCAGGGCCTGAGTTCCTTTATTTCCAACAAGCTCCCCGGTGATGTCAGAACGTGGCCCGACAAGGGCAGAACGGGGAATGACACTCACCAATCGTGACGTGGACAGGGGCCTTCCGTTCTTCTATTAATATTATCTTGAACTCCACTTAAAAAAGAGCCACCCTGCTGTGTTCGGTCTTGGGTGTGCACACCGGCCCCTTCAGTTCTCTGCTGTTGGAAGCAGGGGGCATTAAGCCCAGCTCCCCCCACTTTGTGAAGGGAGGCTGGAGAAGCTGACCTCATGCCTGCTCCTCGCAATTGCTCATACTGAGTCGCTCATCAAACATTCAAAGCCCATTTGGAACCACTCTAGCGGGATGGACATGTCCCACACTGGGGGGAAATGGAGCAGGGCCTGGGGAAACAGCCCTCTCTCCTCTTCAAAAAGCCAACGCCTTTATGCCATTGGCACTTATTACAGAATCAGTCCAAATGTATATTTAATCATCTGCCTCACCAGAGTCTAGGAGCCAGCAGGAACTCCTGGGCCCGCACGGCGCCCTCTCTTTTCTAGCATCCTTACGTTGAATTTGGGACAGGTCACTGCTGAGCGCAGCACCAGGCGGGAGCTATTCCCGGGCCACAGTCCCTCTGCGCAGGGCGAGCTCGCGTGGGCTGGGCAGCCATGTACTGATTTTCATAATGCCTCCCCCCCAAATCCTCCTCTAATTAATCCGCCCCCGCCTTGAGGAGATGCAGTAACTGCTGCCAGTTACTGGTAGATTCTGGGAGCCCTCTGAGGACCCCAAAAGCTCTAAACTCGCCCCTAAGGGTCCCATTTTCTGGAACAAACCAGCCTGGGAGCCTGCAGGGCAAAGGGTGCTGTGTGACGTGGTGGAGCCCGGAGCAAAGTCGCTCCCGTCTGGCGGAGGTGCAGTGAGAATCGTCCCGCTGGTCCCAACAGGCAGAGTGCCAAGACCTTTCACGGAGACCTGACGCCCAGGGGTGACAGTCAGCAACTCACAAACACGCCTTCTCCTTGAATAGAATGTTCCAGAGCCCCCAGTGATTTCCAGAGAGAGAGAAGCTGCAAAGCCAGGAGGCTGTTGGGGCTTCCAACTCTTCTGATCAAGAGCTAGAAGAGGAAGCCCCTTCCTTTCCTGCAAGGGAGACGGGCCCTGGAGAGGACAAGAGAGGCAGGAAGCCGGTGTAGCATGGCCGATGCTGGAGGCCAGCGGGAAAGGCCGGTCCACGTGGGCCAGGTCGGCAGGGCAAGGGGGCCAGTGATTCACAGGACCCCGGCGAACAGCAAGGCCTATGCACGTTCCAAATCAATCATACGCTGTGGTTTCCGATTTCATCTCCTTTGGGGGTCCCTGCTCCCGCCTCTGGACACAGAGCTGGCTCAACAACGCCCAGAGTCAGGTGGAGAGGAGGCAAGAGGAGGAAATACCTTGCTATGATCAGCCCACTGGAAAAACCGACCCCAGGGACCTCCGACTCGCCCTCTGCCTTGGGCTCCTGTCTGCTGGGTGGACTGTACTGGATATCCTTTGCCCCCAGGCCCCCTTTCCCCACGCTTCCTATTCTGCACTGTGGCCTAGAGGCCAACCTCTTATAATCTGCGCCCCCCAGGCCCTTGCCCGCAGTGTCCCGCTTGCTTGGCCAAGCGGGAGGTGCGAACAAGACACGGGAGGGCCCTGCCTGCCCGCCTGCACCACCCGGCCTCCCCCAGCTGCAGCCGTCACTGCCCCGGGCATGCTCCCTGCCTGGTAATTTCCCTAAGCCTTGACCGTCCGCAGCCCCCACATCCAAGTCTCTCCAACTGCCCTTCTAGAACCCAGCGATTATTCCCTGCTGGGGTCCTGACCAACACAGAGCACAGGATGGAAAGTGGTCTCAAAAAGAGCACACGTGTTTGCAAACACAAAGGTAAAATGAAAACTTACGTGCAAAATAAAGGAGAAAAAGCAAAGTGGGGCAGGGGGAGGGGAAAGCCAACACGACCAGAGAACACCGCCACGAGCTGAACCTCGCGTCAGCCCCTCTGTTCTCAGTCCCACGTCCCGTGAACTGGATGCAAAGAAAAGGTGTGGGCGGCAAGAACACAGTGACCGTCTCTCCACGGTCTCCCTGCAACTGAGCCGCACAATGCAGGAGGGCAGAGCTGCCTTCCTGGACGCCTGCCCCACTCCGGGCGCCCACGTCCGAGGCTGGGACAGCTCAGACTTGCTGAGGGGGCTGCAGTGTGCCCACCAGCTACCCAGACCCCCGGGACACACACACAGAGGCGTGGTGACGGCCCGGGATGCAGGTCTCGGGGGTCTGATGCCGCAGCTCCAGGAGGTTCAGAGGCGCAGAGCACACAGCAAACGGGAGCGTGATCGTGGACAAGGCCCGCCTCGTCGAGGGGCTGGAAGGACCCCCCGCAACCTTATCTTTTTGCTAGCAGCAATCACCCAAGTAGCTGGTCGGTTGACTCTTGAAAGACACTCAGGCTTAGGCGGCTGACAGCCCTCTCCAGCAGGTCTGACGCCAAGGGTGGTCAGAATGCCGTTCTCATCCCTTGCACCCAGCCAACGTGCCTCTGGTTTGGCTCATTTTCAACCCAGCAAACACTCAGCGAAGTGAAAAATAATGCGCCCAGCCCCGTACTTGGTCCTGCAAGGCCCGTGACAAGGCAGAGCTTGTGCCCCTCAGGACCCCACATCTTGGTAGGAAGGAAGGTGAGGGACACAGCTGGAAGACAAGACAAAACACGGCGCTCACTGCCCTGGGAAGAGCGGGGGGAGCTTGGGAAGCTGGGAATCAACACGGGAATGCAGGTCTCCCCCTGGACACTGGGGACATGTGGCCAGGCAGAGAAGGCGGGAGGCCTTCCTGGAGGCAGAAGGTGCATCACGAACACCTGGAAACCCTAGTGAGTCCGGCATATTCACAGGACGGCAGTTCTGAGACAGGGGAACAGTTGAGAGACCGTTTTAAGCCCCCCCCCCCAATCGCTGTGATTTCAGCTGTGCAGAGAAAGCAAGACAGGGAGTGAGGAGAGGATGCACAAGAGGACACGAAAAACAACTGGAGGCCTGTTACGCAGGCCTTAAAGGAAAAGTACAGGAAGGAAGAGGGGGATGAGTGGGCCTTTCAATGTATAAATAAAAGGGAAGTAAGATTTCGCCTCCATCTAGAACAGGTCAAAGGGAATTGGGCTCACGGAAGCTAAGAACTTTCCTGATGTTCTGGCTAGAGAAATCTTGAGAAAGAGCCCCCTCCTCAGGGAAGCAGACCAGGAGAGCAAGTTTGAGGATGGTTCTGAAGCCATCCCAGCACAGCCAAATGCGACTGCCAGGCCAACCAGGAGGCAGGGGCTCCGGAGCTGACAGCTCCCCACACCGAGGAAGCGAGGGGAGCTGGGAAGGTGCGAGGGGCCAGGGCAGTCAGGCGGGGGGTGCTGCCAGCTCCGTCCAAAGGCTCCTGGCTCTGCCACGTGTGCCAGGGGCCCCCACGTCTGTCACTCACGACTGCCCGAGGAGGGCTGCAAATTCCAGGCTCGGTCCCGCCACCACCTGGAAGGCCCCTCACCCCCTCACCCCCCAGTCGATGAGCACATTCTCAGAGAATACAACAAAATGAACACTTCCCTGAGCAAACCATAGTTTAGAAGTCTCATTAAAGGAGAGAGAGGATGAGGAGAAAAGGGGAGGGTAATTGCATCTCAGAGCAAAACACGGACGTGGTTTGGGGCCTGGATGGGGGAGCAGCCTGCGAGACGAACAGGGAGACCCTGGAGGGGGCCTCAGGGTCCAGGCAGGAGGGGAGGACGCCCCCGGCCCCGCCTCCAGCCCGAAGTCCCCTGCCCTGCACGCGGCCTCACCTGGGTTTGGGAAGGCCTGAAGGCGGAGTCGAAGCCGTTCTGCAGGGAGTCCAGGAAGGGCTGGACCTTGTAGAGGCCGTGCGTGGTCTGGCTGGAGCGGAAGGCCACCACGTGGAAGTACTTGAGTATCTTCTCGAAGCGGGCCTGGCTCATGACCAGGGCGAGGCTCGGGTTGCTGTAGAAGCCGCCGCTCCAGATGCTGAGGACCGACTCGCAGTGCGAGGTGCTGGTGGAGATCACGCAGCCCAGGAAGGCCTTCATCTCCGCCAGCGTCACGTCTGCCCAGGCCCCGTCGCTCCCGAACCGCTCCTGGAACTTCTTGGCGTACATGTTGGTCTGCACCACCATGTTCTTGAGGACATTGTCCGGGACGAAGAGCTGGAAGAAGTCCATGGCACTGGCGCTGGGGGGCATCTGGCGGGTGGGACCTGAAACAGGGAGGCCAAGTGCTACCGCTGCAGCCCCCACACCCCGCCTCCCCGTCCACCACGGGATGCTCGTCCCATCACTGGGCCTCTGCCCCGAGTGCCACTTCCGCGACATCCTCATGGGAGGGAGCCAGACCCAGACACCCACCTTGGGAACTGTCCTCCCCTCCTCCCCTGACCCCAGACAGGCGCGACCCTTCCCGTGTCCCCAGTGCCCTGTGTCCTCACTACACTCCGCACACATCACAGCCCCACAGATCTGGCCAAGCCAGAAATACTGATCTGAAGAGGAAGGCACACAGAGGAGGAGGAAGGGAAACCCAAAGACACACCAGATTCTTAACACAGGAGCTTGGCCACAGCTTTCTGGCCGTCGTCTCCTTGAAAGTTAAGGTGCCTTTGGAAAGAATGCTCTCACCCCTTGGGGCCTGAGAGGCTCCATTCAGAGGAGATGGCAATTTATCGGACACTCGCTACGTGGTGACTCTAAATTTGTTAGTAAATGAGTCTGATGAGGCTGGTTTAGATACTTTCACGAATGCAATAAAAGCCTGACAATTTCTGATGAATGCAGGGACATCCTGAAACACACACCACATCCTTCAGAGGTAGGATTTTCAACTCCAGATAAGCCAGGCTAACTGCATGTAGAGACTTGTAGGAGACAAGCTTTGCTTCGATCACATCCATAGAGGGATTGCTAATAAAAGCTGTGCACATCCTTCAGAAATTAAACCACTCCCCCAACCTCCTGGCAACCTTCCTCTACTACTGATTTAGGTAGTCTTTGAAAAACAGGTTTTCCACAGCAAAATTAAGATGAGCAAAGTACACAAGCCATCCTAGGTTTTAAATTCAGACAGACAGATTAGGGAGTTGAAACCCTAAATTTAGTTACCTGTGGCTAACTGCACTCACCATCTTGGACAGATTCCTTCATCTCTCCTGTTTGTAAAATGGGCACAGTGACCCCTGCTTTGCAAGGTAGTTGTGGGGGGTAGGATGACTGGGGGGGGGGACACAGGGAAGGCACTGCGCACAGCGCCTGGCCCCACGGAGGTACCTAAAACGAGATCGGCTTTACTGAGATGTCAGTAACAGAAATCCACTGACGGTGGGCTGAGGGCTTTAGAATTTACAGAAGGAACCGAGGCCTGCGGAGTGAAGTGGCCACCATCCCCACTTTCATCGACCATTCTTTGGAAGAGCTCCAGGCGGTCCTGGCGCCATAGGCACCAAACTGGCCTCGGAGGTGGCGACCCTGGCCAATGCGACCACGATGCCGGGAAGACGGGGGGCTGGTCAGCAGGGCCAGCCTTTCCCGGAATCATTTTATTTCAGCGAAACTTGCTGCCTCTGGTGGGTGAAGCCATAAATTATTCAGGGGTAGCTCTCCAAAAGGAGGAAACCCAGCATTTTAATTGCTACCTCATGCTGAGTAAGCAGAAGGAAAATTTCCCTTCCAAAAGTTATGTTTAAAGTAATTCTGCCTCCCAGGCCATTTCACAACGAACTCACACAGCCAACTCTGGCCTGGCCAACTGCTTAATGAAGAAACGGGGATGTAGCCGGTTCCCTCGTATCTGTTTATAGTTTTGATTTACAAGCATCCTTCACGGCCTCTTTTAGTTGCTGTGATGTCTAGCATGTGAAGTGTTGGCCCAGGCCCGTCAATGGGAGGTGGGGGAGGGAGGGGGGAGGCAGAAGACGCTACTCAGAAGACTCGATCCCTACCATCGACTTAATCATACGGTCATTTAATAACAGGACGTGGGCAGATCCCCAGCCAAGATTCATTCATCGAGAGCTTTTTCTGGGTATGAAGCCACGTGATCCCCATGTTCTGTAAAGCATCATCCAGGAGCTCACACGTGTAAGGACACCGCCCCAGGTGGCCCACCTCTAAGTGCCTTCCATACAGTCAGGTGACCTTTGTCCCACCTGGCCCAGAGCCAGTTGGAACACACCTGCTGCCTGCTGTAACCCTGAACAGCACCCCTCCCATCCCACCTCGTGGTGCTCAACACACACCCCTCCCCCTGCCGGTGGTGGGTGGAGAGTGAGCAGCGGGGAGGAGGGAGCCCCGCCCACCCAGGAGGAGCACCACCTGTTTTGAGCCCCCTAGTTAACGCCTGGTGATTAGGTTAGGTCAGCCAGGAGCTTCTGTGTATAAAAGGAGGCCCGAGTGGGCAGGCAGGCAGGGTGGGCAGCTAGCACACCCCCAGCCACACCTGCCTGAGGACACCAAGCTGGGGCGGCCAGGTGAGCCGGGATGGGAAACACTTGGTCACGGGCAGGGTGTGTGTGTGGGTAGGAGGGTGAGTCACAGACACCTGCCAGGTGCCCAGCGTGGGTGAGCTGGCTCGGGATCTTGTTGGGTTTAATCTCCTCTCTCCCTCCCCGAACCGAGGGGAGCCACTGCAGAACTTCTCCTGGTCCTTCTGTTGCTTCTGATGCCTTTTTTCCCCTCCCTGTCCACAGCTACTGGCTGTGTGACCTCAGGCAGGCCACATAACCTCTCTGTGCCAGTTTCCTTATCAATCAAATGGGAGTACGAACACCCAGAACAAGTGCAAGTCGCATGACCTTGAACACTCCTGGCCAGTTCGCCCCGAGGCCCACTGGGGTGTGGGTCCCAAGGGAGCTGTTTCTGCTGCTCACTTCCCTCCACGCACTGCACCACCCGACCTCGGCAGCTGGACACCCCACGTGTGGCAGTGACCCCCACCTTCGCCCAGTCTAGAAGAGAACGCTGGCTTTGTGTGCGTTCGAAAGTGCAAACTTTTAGAGACTGAAGCATTCATTTTGTGAGGAGATTGGCATTTTGCACACACGGGTATTTGGGGGCACAAGCGGTCAGCCGTGCTGTGACATGTACGAGGAACACAGTATTTCGAGTTAAGGGTTTAGTATAATGAGATCACTTATCTCCGGGCCAAATCAAACAGGTATCAAAATATAACAGAATGTCCTGCGTCATCCCAAAAATATTCCTCTCATGTGGGACATTGAAAAAACCGAAGGCACTGCATTCCATAAACGGGTAACGCAGAAAATAGCCATTCTTCTCACTGCCAGCCACAGCCTGTCTTCCTCTTTGGCTGAGGCAATCATCATTTTTCTTGAATTCTTTTTTCTTTTTAATGCATTTAAAAATTTTTTTGTTTTTGTTTTTCTTTTTTGGGGGGGTAATTAGGTTTATTTACTTATTTATTTTTAATGGAGGGACTGGGGATTGAACCCAGGACCTTGTGCACACTGGGCATGCGCTCTACCACCTAGCTACACCCTCCCCTTCTCACATTCTTTTTTCCTTCCTCCAGTGGCCGATATGCAGGACAAGCCATCTAGGTGACAAATACCTGAGGTCCCGGTCTCAGTCTCGATTACCACTCAAGAGCTCTAAAGCCTTCTGCCCTTGTTTAACGTCTTCGTTCAGAGCTAACTGACCGGTAACAAATTCAATTCGCAGCCGGATCAAGGCGTCTCCACGCAGGGGATAGGAGTCGTGGGTGTGACTCCCAGACATACTCCCAACATCCCTGGATGTGTGGCCGGATGGGAAAACCCAGACCCACGTCACCGGGCAGCTGTGAACAGCACCAACTTTCCCCTTCCTGTTTAGATCTGATCTGCAATGCTTACCAACATAGTAAAATTAGTTCAGATTAGCGTTAGTGCCCTAAATGGTACCTTCTGACAGAGGGACAAACGTGAGGTGCTAACCATTCTGCGGAGCCGTTAGAAAATGTGCAGCATCTGGCCGGAGAACCCCGACCGCAGCATCAGTCGCGAACGGATCAGCTGCGGGGCTTCTTCGTTAGGGATACGTAACAGCAAACGCTGCGCGTGTGCGTGAGTGCGCGCATGCACATGTGGGCTTCTCCAAGCTAGGGCAACACAGTGGCTGGCAAAGAAGTTGACAAGACAAAGGAAACAATTCTGGAATCAGGCACCTGAGTTGATGCTTTTATTGGAAACACAGAGCCCAGAACAGGAGCGTGTAGTCCCTACAGAAAGAGGCTAGTTCGTGAGCTTTAATGCAGACATTAAATCCGTACCCTTAACTCCATGTCATGTGACAGAGCTGGTGTACAGAGAAGGGGTGACACGCACCTGAGCCCGATACAGCACCTTCAGAAATGTTCACGGTATGAGGCGTACACACGTAAGAAATAGCCTGTCTCACCAACTCCAGTGCCTGCCACCTGCAGCTGACCTGCTCCAAAGCGTCTCCTGGGAACACTCTGCTGGGCCCAGGTGGCCCTGACGTTGAGCACTTGCACCGAACCATGGGGAGCAGCTGGGAAAGAGGTCAGCAGCATCCGACCCACCGGGCGACCTCACCGCCGCACCCTGGGCCCGGGGACCCTCCAGTATCCTCTCTACCCGCAGCTGCACATCCTACAGTCCAGCTCATGTGCACAAACTATTCTTTGGATTGTTAGCGAATTCACTAGGCTTTTTAAAGGCTTGCTGCTCCCTCCCCTGTTCCCCCCAGCCCTGGACCAGGCTTACTGCCCCTCCCCCCACTCCCACCCCCGACCAGACTCATCACCCTCCCCTCCCCCACTCTCGACTAGGCTCATCCACTAAGACATTTTCCCACCAAAACCATAGATCTCACTTTCCCTCAGTTCTGAGGAGAGGGGTGTCTGTTGAGGGTGAGAGGCAGGGTTGCCTGCAGCTGGGGTCGGGGGGTGGGGGGAGCTCCTGGTTCTCTAACTGAACCTCTGGGAAGCCGCAGTTTCTCCGGGTCTCCATTTTTCACTGGTAACTTGCCTCAACTCCATCCCAAGACTAATGAAACAAGACAATGATGTATTTTGAGGAATGGAAATACATCTACAGAAGTCCACTCTCTTGATTCTGAAACAGCTGCCGTCCAGCGAAGCTGAGGACCTGGACTGGGCTCCATTCCACGACTCCCCAGGTGGGGGACTTCGGGCAAACTACCCCACTCTGTCTCAGTCTGTGCGGCCTGCCACCCAGGCTGGGTG